CAAAATCTCAGAACAAAAATGAACCAAAAGAAAACCCCAGGAGGGTGAAACAAGTTGATGTAGATCAGCAAAGAAACTCAAAAAGAAAGTGACACAAGATTACGTTTTAAGGTGCCTAAGGGATGATAAATTTGCAGAAAATACATTGAAGGGTATTGGGAGAAGTAGGAAAGTGGTCAAGAGAACACAGCGTAACAGGTAGAGGCAGAATGGACACATGCATTTGTATTGTATGCTCACACAGTGTAAGGCTGTTTGGTGATCAGAGCAGAAAATGACAAATACACAATAATACGAATGATTTACCAATACCATGTTAAGCTAGATTCTCATATGAATTCATGCAGGTTTTTATTTATGTGGTGGTAATGCACTCAACGAAAGTTGGTGGGTATTTATAGTAAGGTACTGGAAACCATTGTGTGTGTATATGCATAATTTATTTATTGGATTATAGTAAATGTATATAAATACATTTTGAAATGCTGAGGAATCTTTTAAAAAATACCCTCCTGTGGGCCCTCCCTGGTGGTGTGGTGGGTTAAAGCACAGCACCAAGAAGCTAAAGCCACTTCAACATGAGTTCGATCCCCGCCCCTAAGGTGAATGGCATGGCAGACCTCTGCTCTGCTGACTTCCTGCTGCTCCCCTCAACAGTGTACTTCATCAGTCGGCCTGTTCTGCACGCCACACTCTGGTGAATCTACTCACCACCCCTGCACCTCTGGCCTGTACCCCAGTTCCGTATGCATAAATAAATGTTTAAAAAAATACCCTCGGGTAATTGTAAGTGAAATTTACAATAATTTTCATGTATTTATTTTACAAGGAATGCTTATAACCTGGAATGATTTGGGTCTGAAGATTATTCTAGCTCAAAAATACACAAACTTTGATTATTCAAGGAAATGTGGGACTATGTTCATCGATGTGTTTTAGCAATAGCAGGGGTGCTTCAGAAATGCTACCCATTGCACTTACCACCAAGTCTCTTAAGAGGTTCTTCATTGTTCTTCTCAAACTTTGATTTGGGAAAACGGTGGTGTGGCCTAGGATGCTTTCAAGCTAATTTAGACTGTGTACAGTGTATAGTGATAAGTTAGACATATTCAAAGGAAGAGTCCCGTATCAGAAATAGTAGAAAAACACAGGTCTTGCTTTGCCTGTTGGATATTATTAGCATGTTTGTCATCTGGGTATTGGTACATCTTTTCTCTTGCTGTAGAAGACCTGAGTATATGTTAGTGTTTGAAATGAAAGGTGAAATGAAGACACGTAAGATGATTAAGGTGCCCAATAGATGTCCCTATTAATTGAAACAAGCACAGTTTTGGTCTGCTGTGTCCTCTCTCCCAGATCTTGATTATAACCCACCTTTTTCTTTCTGTGAATCACAATTACCAATTATTGTTCTGTTACAGGCAGGTAAAGGGGCACCCCTGATCCCCCAAACCTGCCTGCTCTGAATAGGTTCTGCCACCTGCTGCATCAGGACAAGACATGTTAAGACCTTTAATGGAAAAAAAAACTTTAATACAATGAATGTGCAATACAGAAAAGACAAAGAATATAGTTTCTAAACCAAACACCCAAAGTTACCCGTCCCCTCGTGGGTAAAAGCCCATCCAAATGGGATTGGCCCAAAGCAAGGCCTGAAAGCCTGCCACAAGTCTAAAGCACTTCTGGCCGGGCCCCTTAGAAAAGGGTCAGAAATGACCAAATAAGTTTGGGAGAGGAAACCCACATCTGTTTTGATCAGCCCAAGACCAAGAAATAAAAGTTGCTGCTTCACATGTCTCTGCTCCATGCGCCTCCCTCAGTTCTCCGTCTGGCTCTCTGTCCTGTTTCCTTCTCCTTTGGTCTCCTCTCTAGATTCTTCTCCTCCCTGCTCAGTTCCACCCTCCTTTTGGTGGAGCAGGGGACCAGGAACCTCCCTTTTTCCTGGGGGCCACCCTGTTGCAGTTCCAATTGTTAGCTAGTTTCTGGTCCATTGGGCTTTGCTTTGCCTTCAGCCTTTTAGAAAAATTTAACTTACCACGAGCGCCCCCTGGTGTTCAACAAGAGAACTTTTTAAAAAGGATTGATTTATGCATCCAGAACTGGGGTGCAGGCCATAGGTGCAGGGTTCGTTAGAGGATTCTAACGGAGACAAGAGTGGGGACAGAGTACGCGGGTCGACAAGAGGAGAAGCTGAGAGGAGAAGCGGGCGGGTCAGGAGAGGTCTACTGCACCAGGTGGATCACCTCTGGGGCAGGTGGGGATCGAACTCATGCTGAAGTGGCTTTGGCTTCTTAATGCTATGATTTAATCTGCTGTGCCACCAGGGAGGGCCCCAAGAGAGTATTTTTATAGTTTTCATACTGTTACAGGACCCCCCAATTCTGTTAGAGAACAAAATCTGTAATAGGATCGGGGGAGAGGGACACACCTGAAGCCCAAAACCTGCCTGCTCTAAGTGGGTTCTGCCGTCTGCTGCGTCAAGACAAAACATATAAAACTTTAATGAAAAGGGACTTTAATACAGTAAATATACATTACGGAGCACAAAGAATATAACTTCTAAATCAAACACCTGAAGTTACCCATCCCCTCGTGGGCAAAAGTCAACCCAAAAGGGATTGGCCCAAAGCAAGGCCTGAAAGCCCGCCACAAGACTAAAGCACCTTCTGGCCAGGACCCATGGAAAAGGGTCAGAAATGGCCAGACAAGTCTGGGAAGAAAAGAGCAAAATCAATATAAACACTGCCATAGTCACCTCCCTACAAGTATTTCACCCACGTCTGCCTTAACCAGTCCAGGGTCAGGAAACAAGCCCGGTGGCTTGCTCAGGTCTCCTGGCTCTCCATCCTCCTTCATTCTTTCTCTTCTCTCCTTTTTCTCTGCTCAGTTCCACCCTCCTTCTGGGTGGGGCAGGGAACCTGGAACTTCCCTTTTTCCTAGGGACCACCCTGTTACAATACTAGTACTGAAAAAAAGTCTCTGTACAACATTGTAAACTTTTGTTATGGTATAGTTCCAGAGTCACTTAATATCAAGTTTTTTACTTCAAAAGATGTGATAATGAAGTATATAATTATGTAATTTTAACATTCTAGTGGAATGTTAGAAAAAAAATAAAGCCAGAGCTGATTTTCATCCTCTCCATATTTCAACTCCCAAAGCAATTGAATGTGTAGTAATTGTCTTATTCAAGTTTCATTTCATTTGGGTGGATACAGCTGCTATCAACAATGCAACTTAAGGCTAAGCAGGCAACCATAACCCTTTAAGGGTTAAAGATCCAAAACAAAGAACAGGAAACTAGCCCCTAATACCAGGATTAACAAACTAGAGTTCAGCTTTGTTCTCTGAGCAACCCAGAGGGATGAAATGCCACTTGTGCCTGAGGCACATGCCACCACTTTGTTTTGACATTGTAATTTAATTTTAAACTCCCATAACCTTGGGATGAGGGGGAGCCATGAGTACAACTTCAAAACTTTAAGACAGTATCAGTTGTCATATTTGCCCACCTATTTTAAAATGTTGTTAGAAAATGTGTAGTTTACAAAAGCGGAACAAAATTTTCTAAAATTAACTCTGAAAATATTACGACCTTAACTTTTAAAGCTTTTATATAGAAAGTACTCCCACTCATTCTGGGCCAACTCCCCAAATGTAGGGCAGTGGCACTTAAAAGGTTGGCCCAGAATGACCAGCAGTTGCTGGAATATAAATTCACTTTAAAGGGAAAAACCTAAGCCAACAGAAAAACTGCTTTCGATGTAAATGACCAATATGAATCCTCAGAGTTCGTTTCTTTCCTCAAAAGATTTTACCATAAAGTAAAAGGCTTATTTAATTCCAAATTTAAAATTAACTTCAATTTTCTTGCCATCAACCCCCTTAAACCTGACCATCTGACTTCATCTTTTCCCCAACAGCACCTATCATTTACTTTTTCTTAAATTTATCAAGTTTACATTAACTATGTAATCTTGGCAAGAACAACTTCACACCTCCCTATGTGCACATGCTCCCCTCGCCCTCCACCTGAGCTCCAGTGCCAGTTCCCCATCATGGCACCTCCCAGTGCTTTCCACCCTCATTCCCTTTCTCTTGATTTTACTACCTGTATTTCCCAGACCCATCCTCTACTCTACCCCTGCCACTGTCCTTCACATCTATGCTGTCTCCAGAAAAACTATTTAGACATTTCTCAAATGTTCTTCAAACCTTTTCAACCCCCATTCACCAGCCCCACCCCCACCTCAATCAACAGTCCCTATTACTAGGGACTCCCTAACTGTGTTCTGTGCAGACTTCCTGCCACTTTACCCATCCCATTTTGTACTGTTCATTTGGAATAGCTTAAGAGTTCTCCCAATAGTATGTGATCTATTTATATGCCTTTTCTTGAATTCTCTTTGCAAGACCTTTTCCACCTTTCTTTACTAATTTACTCTAGTAAATTCAAACTCTTCCAAGTCTCCTGAAGCCTGGGCTGTAGTAATCATCCTAAAATTCCCACAGCACCTACAGAATCCTCTGTTAATTTCAGCATATTGAAATTAATCTGCTTTTAGTCTCACTCCCAAGGCAGACTGGAAAGCTGCCTGAAGATACAAATTATCTTAGTTCATGGTCCCAGAAACTTGTACAATTTTGGCTCAAAAGGTGAACACCATTTGAGGCCTCCCTGGTGGTGCAAGGGGTTGCCTCAGTACTAGGAAGCTATCTGCAGTGGCTTCCTAGTACTTTGATGCTTGGCCAGGGAGGTGACCCACATGGTGCAGCAAACCTCTCCTGTCTAGTCCTGCCTGCTGCTCCCCTCAGCAATTTCAGTAGATCTGTTCAGCTCCCCACTGTCTCTAATGAATCCTCTCAGCCCCTCCCCCACACTTCAGGTCTGTACCCCAGTTCTTGTATACATAAGTAAAAAAGCACAAAATTTGCTCAACTGAGCTGGAGAAAATGACCCTCTGAATGTATAATTGCATATAATCAACAATACATTTAAGACATTTATAAATATTTATTAAAATATTTATAATTTTAAAAACTTGTAAGAAATAGCAAAACTTGTAAACATTCAACCAGACAGGTTAAAATGGGAAGGACTGATAAAAGTGTTATGACATACAATGCTGGTAAAGAGTGCAAACTGGCAGTATCTATAAACTAAAGCTAAACATAAATATACCCTGTGGACTCAGCAATTACATCCTGGGTATTTGCCCAACAGAAATGAAAAGGAATGGTCTTAGCAGCATTATTCACAAGAAACAGTCCCAAACAGGAAATACTCGAATCAATAATTCTGGTATATCCATACAAATAATACAGAGCAATTAAATAGAATAAACTACACATAAAACAAAGATACTACTTTACGAAGTTCAAAACAACCTAATCTGTGAAGTGAGAATAATGGTTCCTGAGGGTTCTGGGCGTTAACTGGGGAGTGTTATGAGGAAGATATGTGTACACTAAGCTAAACAGTCCCCAACTCGGTGGTCACACAGGTGAACACTAAGTCCAAGTTTATCCTGTTGTGCACTTAAGATCTACGTACCTTATTTACGTGCAAGTCATGTTACACAAAGTTTAAAAAAGAGGTGCATTAAGATGTGGGAAATAGTCCAACACATTGGAGGTACAGCCATGAGACAAAATAAAAGTAGCTGATAAAAGTAGCTCTCTCTCTTTGCTATAATATTGAATTTTTTTTTAAATGCACAAGTGGTATTAATTACAGTGGTTACAACTTTGGCTTAAGGTTCCTAATACTATTTTCTGTTCTTACAGAAACTGCATGACTTTGTTATTATAGAGATTAGTTGCTTTGCACCAAATTTTAACCATTCATTTTTCTAAACTTAGAGAACAGCTTAACTTTAGCCTACAAAATCACAGTGACTATTTGTTACTAGTAAAATTCTGCAAGAAATTTAGTCACTGTACCGTATTCCTTTTTAATCTGAAATCTGCTGCCATCTTTTAGTGAAACACAGGAATACAAGTTTTTTAACATAAATACATTTCCTGTTAACATTTTGAAAAAAAAAACAAAAACTCCAGGGTAGCCTTATGTGCTTTGTATTCCAGATTGTGTTCTTGGTCAATATTTCTGAGAATATGAATGTTAATCAGTTTGAGAATAAAATCAATTTAATCAACTACCAGCATTCCTCACTGGATATTTGAGGAAAAGTATATACAAATGAGATTAACAGATTGAAACACCTTTCAGTGCAAGAAAGAACAAAGTCTTTAAAAAAGTATCCATGGACAGGCAGAACCCCTTCTGGGCAACAGTTTATGTAAGGCAAGAGTGAATATAGCACCTTTGGACATAAAATATTTTTGAATTATAATTTCACATGTACATATATAAAGACAGTATTTTGTATTGTTTGCACGAACTGTATTATAACCTAAAAACCTTGGTTTTAACCAGAATTTCCTGAGTGGCTGACACATTACACTAGCAAGGTAATACTATGTATGTGAGACTCATTTGTTTTTCAAGGATTTTTCAGCTTTTGACGTTGATGCTATCACCTGCAAGGCACCAGTCCAAGTGCTCGTTAATTTGAGACTCTATGACCTCACTGTGACAAACAGGACAAGTAACCATTCTGCCCTGACTGGATGAACTGCTGGAATTCTGAGCTGTGGCTACAGGATGCGAACTACACTTTGGGTCACTGCCACCACTTGATATTTGCTCTTTCTTGATAAAAAAATTGTCAATAATAGTCTTGTCGTCTCGCCTGGGTCGTTTAATTGGGAATCTCTCTTCAGGCCCACTCACATCCTGGGATGGAGTCACAGATGTTGGTTCCACTGCTTTTAAAGAATTTCGTAAGGCTACCTTAGAAGCTGTAACCCTTCTTTGAGAACTGGAGGAGATGGTATTCTTCGTGATGTCAGTAACTGCCACATTGTTTGTAGGAGATCCATTCACACTTCGGAAAGCCTTTTGGTTGGCAACTGATACTCTAGGAAAGTAGTTGCTTAACACATTTTGGTGGCTGCTATTAAGAACAGGAGAGACTAGATGCGAAGTTTTTTTACTTGAACTACTCTGTTCAAATTTCCCCTCAGTTTTAGAATTAGCTCTTAGGGCACTTGCTGAATGGTCTTGACTTAAAAGATCTTGGGTTTTATTAGCAGCATGTGAAGTGGTAAATTTCCCAGGTGAAAGGGAATTGCTTGTTTCTCCTAAAACATATCCTTTTCCACTAAAAGGGATTAACGACTGCGTGTTGCCTCTCTTGAACTTTTCTGCAAAAGAAGCAATAGAATGAAACTTTCCTCAACTCAATATTAATACAACAATGAATGTTAAGATAATGAAGTTTTTTTTTTTTCGACAGTACTAGTTCATTCTAAATTAGATGCATGTAATAGTTCCCAGTAATGAGGGGATGGCCTTTAGAAGTTAGAGAACTCTGGTATTGAATGGGCATGCAAAGACCAACAGCAAAGTAACTTTCAGTTGAACGTTTCATAGTATCCCTGAGTATCCCATAGTATCCCAGGCAGGAAAAAGGTACTATCACATTCTTCTCCTACTCACAAAAAATTCCTTTACTGATCAATTCACTTAACATTTCAGATCTGGAAAATTAGCTTATGAACATCAAATCTAAAGGATGTGGTAATTTAGTAATCTGGTTACTACTCCACAAAGACAGAACTCAAAACTTCATGGGAAAGAGACAAACCTTAAAAGATGAAGTCAGTGCGTGTGTCATATCCTTTCCCCATTCTTCTCCCAGTGAGCATACATACATCAATAGGAGAGTCACTTGGACAGAGTCCAACTGATAGGAAGGGGTGTGGTTAGAACTCACATTCCGGGCATTGTCTCTCCAATTACTGTTTATTTTGGCAATCTCTTTGCCTTCTGTTTCCTACTGACTCAGAGAGTCAAGACAGAGAAAGGGACTGTACCTCAAATATCATGAGTGGGAATTATTTCTACTTTTACTCATGTCTATATAGAACAAATGGGTGTTTTTCCCAACATCATTTCTTGAATAATGGATTTTTTCCTTAAGTCTGCACTTAAAAATTTAACCAGAAGCAATCCTCAAGTTTATATTAGTAACAGTTCTCTAATGGCCAGTACAGTTTTTACATCACAGCTGTAGTCATAGACTTGTTAGAAAAATATACATCAGGTTACCTTTAGTCTCTGTTGTTGACACTGGGTCCTTTCCTAGTTTTGTCTTCCCTTTGCCTTTTTTCGAGTAGTTCTCTGGTTCTTTGATTTTTATGTATGTGCCCCCACAGGTTTTCTGGTGCTCAGCCCACCAGTAGTCATTAGCAGAGGGTGCCCTGTTGGTAGCACGTTTGACATAACCATAGTAGGGCTTTTTGTACTGACAGGGCCCATTGCAACGCCACCAGTGGCGCCGGTACTCATCCACCTCATCATGGAAAGTATGGTACACCTAGGTTGAGAGAAAAGATTTTAGCATTAAAGTTAGTTAGCAATTTTAAGAAAAGAGATCTGTAGAATTTCCCAGATTCTGAAATTTTATTTTGTGAGACAAAAGTTCATTTTACAGCCTCCCTGGTGGTGCAAGGGGTGGTTAAGTCTATGAAATTATTGGCAGTCCGGGAGGTGACTCATAGTGCAGCAGACTTCTCCTACTTCACCCACTGCTCTCCTCAGTGGTATATTTCAGTTGATCCACCTGTTCTGCTTCCCACTCTATCTAGTGAATCCTCTTACCCTCCTGCACCTCTGGCCTCTGGCCTCTACTCCAGCTCTTGTATGCATAAATAAATCTTTTTTTTTTAAAGTTCATTTTGAGCATCTATCAGACACATTTACAGGGGTGGAGTGGGGAATGGGATCAAAAATGGGGGGGGGGGGAGTACACAGGACTATGGTGATGGCACACAGGTGAACCGGTGATGGGAAACTCTCGGGGATTACAACTAAGATGGAAAAAGGCACAAAATGATGTAAAAATAAACTATAAATAAAATAAAGTTCATTTTAATGTGAAACAGCAGCAGTCAATTTAAAACTTCATAAACTGTAAGGACAGAAAAATACGATTAGAAGATAAAAATTTTAAAAACCATACAAAAAATGCCTATGAATGCTAAAAGTTTCAGAAACCAAAAAAATTTTTTAAGATTTATTTATACACACAGAACTGAGGTAAAGGCCAAAGGTGCGGGGGCGGAGAGGGGTGGGTGGGTAAGAGGATTCACCAGAGACAGAGTGGGGAGACAGGCAGATGTACTGAAATACACTGCTGAGGGAAGCAGTGGATAGGTCAGGAGAGGTCAGCCACTCCATGTGGGTCACCTCGCTGGCTGGGGGATCCAACTTGTGCTGCAGTGGCTGCAACTGTTTCATAGTGCTGTGCTTTAACCTGCTGCATCACCAGAGAGGGCCCAGAAACCAAATTTTAAAATAATGAACAATCTGGATGAGGGCCAAGATTTTTATATAATCTCATAACCAAGAATCATTCCCACTGCTAAACTGAAAATTTCCCCCCTAAATAACAGTAGCAAAGGGCTTTTGAAGGACTATTTCCTGTAGATCCCAGACTCAACAGAGTATCGTGTCTGATACATACTCTGCTAAACCTCTCCCATTCTCACAGTTCTGTGCTCAAGAGTTATTGTACTAAGTCGTATGGGTGTCATTTTATCTGTTTTGAGATTAAAAACTCTACAGAAAATCAAATGTTTTCATCAGTATATCCCTAGTGGCTAATACAGGCTTGGTACAGTGAAGTTTCTCTCTGAATTTGCTGAGTGAATAAGAAGTTTCATTCATTGAGTCAAATAAAGTTTTCTTTAAATGTGACTTTCAGTCCTTAAACTGGATTCTTTTGTTTTAACCTCTCTGACTGAAAAGGTTAACTCATACCTCAGTGGTACTGATGGCAGGGCACCACTTAAAAATACTCCTACAGGACTAAGTACTTTTTCCTCCTGCCTTCACAGTGAAACATCACTATTGGTATCAGATAAGAAGAATGTGTATGTGAGATCTTTTTTTTTTTTTAAAGATTTATTTATTTATTCATACAGAACTGGGATACAGGCCAGAGATGCGGAGGGTGAGAGGATTCACCAGGGACAGAGTGGGACAGAGTGGGAGCAGAACAGGCAGATCGACGAAGTACACTGCCGAGGGGAGCAGCGGGCGGGTCAGGAGAGGTCTGCCACAACATGTGGTCACCTCCGGGGCAGGCGGGAATCGAACTCATGTGGAAGCGGCTTTAGATTCTCCGTGCAGTGCTTTAACCCGCTGCGCCACCAGGGAGGGCCCGTGAGATCTTTTTTAACCAATAACATTTAACTTTCTAATTCCTCTTGTGGAGAAGAACACTAAGCTTTCTCTAACTCTACACATAGTTTTATATTGTCTCTCCACTCTATGCAGAATTTCTATTATTTGGCAAGCATGCAGTTTAATGTACATTTTATTATGTGCATTTGGGGCTGAAGGGCAAAGGTTTTGGAGTGAAGGGGTATGTCAGATCAAAGCATACCACTTAGGGTAAGAAAGGTATCCTTAATAATTCACTGGCAGAAAAGACAGGGAATAAATTCTGTTTTCCTTTTAACTCCTGTAATTCCTAGTCTGGGAATGTGACTTTCATCAGTAAAGTCAGTAAAATAAAATTGTTCCACAATATGAAACTGGATGCCCTACAGAGTCTATTGTAATAGGACATAACCTGTAAAAAGCAAGGGGTGCTCGCTCAGTAAAATCTCTGCTAAGTAAGAAAACACACAGCCATCCAGAATAAAAGAATATATCCTTTCCCAACAAAAAAAAAAATAGAAAACAGACCAGGAATTTGTTTAAAGTGTAAATCCCAATAAAGTAACTAAAAGCCTTTCATACTAGCAATTGTATAATTGTATAATGGCTGATCTGGATTTTATGTGGTATTTGGAAATATCCAAACATATCAAAGCATTTAACCTGAACAGGAATCAATACCTTATTTGCTTCAATTCAATTTGATGTTTATTAAGTCCTTGGAAGGCCTCTCTCTACACTGTATATCTGAAACATATGTAGACAGAGGTAAGAACCACCCTGTGTTCAGAGGTGTGAAAGTAAAATATCATACAAGGTTAAGTTATCCATACGGGAGACTCAAGGGGGGGAGGAGAAATGTTATATCCTATTGGAAAAGAAAAGAGCATTCTGATAGAGAACAGAGGAAGTAGCACTTTATAAAGAAAGGCCTGGAGGTGAAAAGTTAGAAACATAAGCAAGAGAGATGTGAGAGGTAAGAAAAAAGGAACAGTAAAGTTACTTGATAAAATGAATAATAATAAAAATAATGCTAATGCTCACACTCCTTGAATATGCTGCATGTATTTTTGCCTTTAATCCTCACAAGGACCCAATCAATAAACATTGTCACTATCCTCATGTTAAGAAAGTTCCATGGTTCATAACCAGTGGAGCCAATGGCAGCTGAACCCCCACAGTCAGACTCCTCATGCTTTTCCTAACCCAGACTCTACCACCTCTTACAATATTATATGGAAATGTGAATCAAAAAAGACTTGATGACAGCAAAGGCAAATGAAATAGTAGCAGAATGGCAGCAGGGATAGAATGAAGAGACTAGAATAAACAAACAGAGAGAGAATTCTAATAGTCCAGAAGAGAAGTTTTTGCAGCCCAAAGCAATCTGGCATTAAATGCTATACTGGCTGTGGCCAGAGCCTTAGAGGTGTCTACAGCTCTGCTGCCCTTTACCGTGCATCGTGAACAGGCGGATGGTTTCAGGTTTCTCACGTACTGTGGAAATCCTCAAAGACAGTATTTGTTTATACCAAGTTCTCTATTTTTAAGTAAGTCCCAGAAATTACTGAATAAATAACTGTGTGGCTTTACATACCGTTATATTGGCTCCCGTCAGGCTATTGATGCGATGCATATGTTTACAGAACTCTGGGCCATGTCCTTCCCGGTCTTTATCGTTATTAGTGACAAATAAATAGGCATGTATCATTTCATGCAAGAGGGTCTGAAACAGAAAACAAATTAATTTGTTACAGTGCTTTTGAAAACTAAAAATGTATTTTCTTAACACTACCTCGGGTCTCAACCTTCTTTGGATCATAGGCTTCTTCTGCTTTTATAAAAAGTTATTTATTTATGCATACAGAACTGGGATATAAGCCAGAGGTGCAAGGGTGGTGAGATGCTTCACAAGAGACTGAGCGGGGAGCACAACAGGCAGATCAACAAAGTACACTGCTGAGGGGAGCAGCAGGTGAGACAGGAGAGGTCCGCTGCACCATGTGGGTCACCTCCAGGGTCAGGGATTGAACTCGCACTAAAGCGGCTGCGGCTAGCTTGCAGTGTTGCGTCCTAACCTGGGAGAACCCGGATCATAGGCTTCTTTTAGAAACTGATACAAAACTTTCTAGAAAAATTACAAAATTCACAAAACTTTGCAAGTAATAAATGAAGCACTGCAGATCCCGGGTTAAGACCTCCCTGTTCTAGGGAGGACCTTTAACTATTAATTAAAATCTAGAAGAATAGGGCCCTCCCTGGTGGCGCAGTGGGTTAAAGCACAGCACCGAGAAGCTAAAGCCGCTTCTGCATGAGTTGATTCCCGCCTGCCCCAGAGGTGACCACATGGCGTGGCAGACCCCTCCTGACCCGCCCGTTGCTCCCCTCAGCAGTGTACTTCGTCAATCTGCCTGTTCTGCTCCCCACTCTGTCTCTGGTGAATCCCCTCACCACCCTGCACCTCTGGCCTGTATCCCAGTTCTGTGTGTATAAATAAATATTTAAAAAAAAAAACTAGAAGAATAAAGATCAGAGAAAAAATACCAGAAATAAAGTAAAAAGACAAACAGTAAAATTCATATGCAATTTATATCAGTTTCTAATATCAAGAGTTCCTAAAGTCAAAAGATAAATAACCAATAACCTAATTTTAAACTAGGCAAAGGTCACAACCAATTGAGAAAAAATATATACATATAAATGATTCATAAACATATGAAAATATGTTCAACTTCATTTATAAAAACAAATACAAATTTAAACTATACTAGTTATCACTTCTTGCTTATAATGATGAATAAAACTCCTAAACAGCCTAGTAAAAGTTAAGGGAAAATAATCATTCCCATATCTAAATGGTCAGAGTACAAAAAGCACAAACCCTGTGAGGGAGAATTTTGACATCTAAACAAATTACAAATACATTTATCTTTTGCCCCGCAATACCGGTACAAGTATTTAACTGTGGTGTTGTCTACAATGGCAAAAGACTGGGAACTGTCTGGCAACTTCCAAAGTATATGAATGAACATATGTTCATATAGTGAACATACATACTCATAATGGAATTCTTTGAAACAAAAAAAGGAAAACAGAACAAAGACAATTTCTGTGAAAGACAGTGTATTGTTTAAATGAAAAAAGGCAAAGTACAGAGAGTGTACACACTATTCTATATCAGAAGTTATTTGGGGGGAGGGATAGTAAGAACAGATATAAAAATTTACAAAACAGAACAATTAGAGAAAAAGGAAACTAGTAAGTATCCTATGTAGGTGCAGTGTTCAGGATAAATGAAAATGGGATGGAACAAGACTTCTTCTCTGAGTATAGCCTTCTAAAGTTTGGGGATTTTGAATCATGTGGCATTTTAGAATAAAAGCTATTCCTCATTCCACACCAAGGATACAGAAGTTTACGTGCAAAATTAACAAAGGCTTTCAGACTGTGGCTTCATAATTTGTTCTAAAAAATACAAGTAAGGTTTCAAAAATACAAGTTGTAAAGGTCTTTCCAATCATACCTTTTTCATATGCCTGCAAAAATTAAAAACAAATTCTATCAGAAGAACTAGACTAGCATTAATTAATTTTAGTTTCATCAAATTACGCTGAACAGAAAATGGGAGTCTCAAACATTTTAACTTGTTTTATGAAAACACCTCTTGTAAATGCCATCTACAAATCAAGTTTCACAAATTTTTTATAAAGAGAAAAACATTTACATTTTTTATTTTGGCTCCATTTAAATACATCTTGAAAATGGTACATGGCATCGGACTGGGTCTGTTTACTTTTTTTTTTCTTTAAAAGATTTATTTATTTATGCATACAGCACTGGGGTATAGGCCAGAGGTGCAGGGGCGGTGAGAGGATTCACTGGAGACTGAGTGGGGAGCAGAATAGGCAGATCGATGAAGCACAATGCTGAGGGGAGCAGTGGGCAGGTCAGGAGAGGCCGCTGTGCCATGTGGATCACCTCCAGGTCTGGGAATCAAACAAATGCTTAAGTGGCTTTAGCTTCTTACTGCTGTGCTTTAACCCGCAGCACCACCAGGGAGGGCCCGGTATGTCTACTTTTATTTTATCTACTATCTTCCAGTTAGGCTAGACGCAAGTGCTAGACAACATGTTCCCAAAACACGTTTCCCACACTGTTCTTTCTATATCTGGCCAAAGCAACCAGTTCTGGTCTTAACTAAATAAGCTGTTCTGGCCTTACATTTTTTGTACAGCACTCACATGCCTTCTATCCCTACTTGTCAGAATCCAGTTCACTTGCTTTCAACACTAGTAAGCAGTACTGATTATGCCATGTGGTACAGCAGACAGGCAAAACCTTTACAATGTTCTGGTATTTATTAAAAATGATACCTTGGGCCAGTAACGACTTGCTCCTCATTCCCAAAATGGGGTACCCTAATCGTGGAGAATTGTGGTAAAGATATATAATAGATTCACTAGACTAACACTAATTGATCCAGTCCTAAATCTGGCACACAACTGGTGCTCAATAAAGAGTGGTAGGAATGGTGATATTAGTAGTACTAAAATCCACACATGATTGCTTTTCTTGACTTCCTCTGTCTGATGGTCACAAAACATTACTTCAAAACGATACCTGTACTTCTGTTTATTGCAGCACTACTGACAACAGGTAAGATATGGAACCCACCAAAATACCCAAAAATAAATGACTGGATCAAGAAAACGGGGTATATATACACAATGAATACTATTCGGCAATCAAAAAAGATAAACTCATTGCCATTTGCAACAAACATGGATGGAGCTAGAAGGCATTATGCTCAGTGAGAAAAGCCAGAAGGAAAAACAGAAATATCAGATGGTTTCACTTGTAGGAAGAATGTAGGGGAACCAAATAAAGGGCCAGGAAAAAAAAGTAATAAATTTTTAAGAAATCATGATAGGCCCTCCCTGGTGGCACAGCGGGTTAAAGCACAGCGCTAAGATGCTAAAGCCACTTCCGCATGAGTTCAATCCCCACCTGCCCTGGAGTTAACCACATGGTGCCGCAGACCTCTCCTGACCTGCCCACTGCGCCCCTCAGCAGTGTACTTCGTCAGTCAGCCTGTTCTGCTCCCCACTCTGTCTATGGTGAATCCTCTCACTGCCCCTGCACCTCTGGCCTGTACCCCAGTTCTGTATGTATAATAAATAAATCTTAAAAAAAAAATCATCCAAAAAAAAAAATCATGACAAAAAAGTAAAAACTCACAATTGTGCCCATAGGATATCTTGATAGTGCTATGTACATTCACACTGTTGTGGGTTACTTTTTATTATCCTTTAAAAACAACAATCCTCATAAGGCCAAGGCCAAGGGCATTTTAACATTATTTCCCGTCCAACACCTACCACCTTATATTCTTTTGTGCCTTGTATTTCAATTGATATAACTGGAACAAGAAAAGTGACATTGTGTGTCTCCATGTCTTGGGGAATTTCAGGCCATCTCCCACAGTATGTATGAATTCCTAACTGCCCCATTTTTTCTAGCAGGAGTGACCGCCAGCTCTAGATACGAAGTGTTACCTCACACTGGTTCATTCTGCCAGCTTAGTTTTATGACCTGGGAGGGAAAATGCATGATGGCTCAGCAGGGGAGAAACAAAAGATTCATGTTACACTGGAAAAATGTGGATCCTAAGTTCTTCTCTACTTCTAAAGAAGGAACTGAAGCCATTTACTTAATCTCTCTTAACCTTAATTTCCCCGGTTAGTAGAAAATGAAAGTAACAGTGGTTGTTGTAAAAGTTAGATAATATACCTGAAAGTCAAACTGAAGCACTGTATAAAAACATAAGATAGTCATTGTTTGACAACACAATTAAAGTTTGCACTGAAGGAAAATAAATATTTTTTAAAGAGATACAGGTTATTCACAGCAGTCTAAATCCGTAACAATCGTGTTTAAATTACTGAGTGTATAATCAGTTGATGTGAAGAATACCTCTACAAGATCCTTTCGTGGTCTCAACTTTAAAAGGGGTTCACTGAGACGGATGGAACACATTCCACCCCTCCCTTCATAGCTGCATATCCCAGCACACCTGGAAAACAAACCACCACAAAAACATGTTATTTACCAAATACACATAACATGGTAATAGCTAACCCTTAAATATTCTTGGGCAGTTCACGCCAAGAGAACTTCATGGCAGATGGCGCTCCTCAAAGTAGGAGCTGTCTGCATTTCAGCTCATTTATGGAGAGGGTGTACAGCAGTGGCTTCCTCACCCTAGTCAGGCAGAAAGAGCGCAAGAGAACCCTATATAGTGCTGCTCTCAGTCTCCTATATATAAGCCTTAATAATCAGTTTGTGGTGGTAACGGGCAGAGCTACAACAGTACATCTCCAAAATTATAACAGAATCGCACATGAAGGAGGTCTGTACTTCAAATGCATTTTTTTTTAAAGATTTATTTTATTTGTGCATACAGAACTGGGGTACAGGCCAGAAGCTCAGGGGCAGCGAGAGGCCTCACCAGAAAAAGAGTGGGGAGCAGAACAGGCAGATCTATGAAGTACACTGCTGAGGGGCGCAGCGGGCGGGCCAGGAGAGGTCTGCCACGCCATGTGGTCACCTCCGGGGCAGGCGGGAATCGAACTCATGCGGAAGCGGCTTTAGCTTCTCAATGCTGTGCTTTAACCCGCTGCGCCACCAGGGAGGGCCTCAAATGCAATTTTATGTCACCTCTTAATCTGTCCTACTTTTATTTTCTATCAATTCAAAACAAGCAGGGGGGTATAGAACTTTCGTTTTATACTTGTTAACTCCGTCCAAGTACAGGAGCAGATTATGTCAAAATCAGCGTTTCTCTAGTAATGTGTAAAAAAGAGGATTCGTTTAGAGGCGTCACTGAAATCACCGAAGGAGGATCCCTTGAGTCCAGAAATACGGAAATGTCAACCCCTTCGCCATTCTAACCCAGGCATTCACTACTAAGTGGTAGTATTCTAACAAGCAAAGGAAAAAGCAGCACGCATCTTTCCAGGTTTCACAGTACCCTCGGATTCTTAATGCAGAATCTGCTTTCTTCTCTCTTAGGCCCTAAATCACTACTACAAGACAAACCGGAAGTGTGATCTGCGTTCAAGTGAGCTGAAAGCCAAAGAAACGTCCTCATCTCTGCCTTATCAGTCAAACCGTGATCCGGGTGGGTTTCACAGGTTTCTTAAAGCTGTCTGCGCAGAAGTGAGGCAGAGTACGAGAAGGGGGCGAGAAACTGACAGGAGACACCACTGCTCCTCTTTAACGTCCCCTGCAGGGCGACTGGAGCGGGGTGAGGGGGTTGTGGCGGGGAAGGGGGAGGAGAGAAACCCGGACCAAGGGGCTGTAGAAGAGATGCCAGCCAGTCTCTTTTCCCAAGCTGGGACCGGGACTCACAGGGTCATTCGCACGCTCCACTTCACCTCGACGGCCTCCAGCTGGCCCCAGAAAAACCGGTCGTTGAACTGCATAAACAGGGCCTGCAAATCCGGGGTGGGGTCTACCAACTCCCAGGACGCGTCCACCAGCGACAGGGGTTCCTGGGCCAGACCCCGCTCAGACATCTGCAAGTCCCACTCCTCCTGAAGCCGCAAAGCCAAAACCAGATCCTCATCCATCACTGCTAGTATTCCAAACGTGATCGTCGGTGCCAAGCTCGATCCTAGGTGATGCTGCGCACCACGTCAGGGAGACTTCGAGAGCCGGATCAAACTCCTAGGAGATACCGGCTCTCGGGCTGCTCTCGCGGAAGGGCGCCTATCTCGCGAGAGTTCAAGAACACTGACTACAGACCCAGAACACCGATTACCCCAAACGCCGAAGGCAAAATTCTGGGGCTTGAGAAAAGAATTCAGCATGACACCTCCGAATGGGCTCAAATTTGGTTTCGAAGCCGTTACCGTCTTTACCCTTCGACAGTAACTTAAAGAGTTAGCGTCATACTCCACGCAGTCGCAATCTCACTGCCTGGCGGCCCCGCCCTCCAGTCACTTCCGCTCTAGCGCCTCTTGCGCGTGCGTACCAAAGCCCTGGCATTTTTGCGCAGGCGCAGTCTCTCCGTTTAGGTTCCTTGCGCAGGCGCCGTGTGTGAGGCTCAGACCCCGGGCGCAGGCGTTCTAGTCTCTCTTCCCTCCTGCTTCCTCAACTCAGCAGCTTGGCGGGGCTTGGGTGGGTCTGGACGGTGGCGGCACTGGCGGTGGCGACAGTGACAGTGACTGCGTGAGACTCGGCTGGAAATGGTGATGGCAATGTCGGACAGTGGGGCGAGTCGCCTGCGGCGGCAGCTAGAGTCAGGGGGCTTTGAGGCGCGGTTGTACGTGAAGCAGCTCTCTCAGCAGTCAGACGGGGACCGGGACCTGCAGGAGCACCGGCAGCGCATCCAGGCGTTGGCGGAGGAGACGGCACAGAATCTGAAGCGCAACGTCTACCAGAACTACCGGCAGTTCATAGAGACTGCCCGCGAGATCTCTTACCTTGAGAGCGAGATGTATCAGCTGAGCCATCTGCTGACGGAGCAGAAGAGCAGCCTAGAGAGCATCCCGCTTACTCTGCTGCCGGCAGCTGCCGCCGCCGCCGGAGCTGCCGCAGCCTCTGGAGGGGAGGAAGGAGGAGGTGGTGCGGGGGGCCGAGACCATCTCCGGGGCCAGACCGGTTTTTTCCCCATCCCGGGGGCTGCCTCCCGCGACAGTTCCGGTCCGGGCGAGGAGGGAAAGCAGCGCACTCTTACCACCCTACTTGAGAAGGTGGAAGGCTGCAGGCACCTGCTGGAGACCCCGGGACAGTACCTAGTGTACAACGGGGACCTGGTGGAATATGAGGCGGACCACATGGCCCAACTGCAGCGGGTGCACGGCTTCCTCATGAACGACTGTTTGCTGGTAGCCACTTGGCTGCCGCAGCGGCGGGGGATGTATCGCTACAATGCTCTTTATCCTCTGGATGGTTTGGCCGTAGTCAATGTCAAGGACAACCCGCCCATGAAGGACATGTTCAAGCTGCTAATGTTCCCCGAGAGCCGTATTTTTCAGGCGGAAAATGCTAAAATCAAGCGAGAGTGGCTGGAAGTGCTGGAGGAAACCAAGAGGGCCCTCAGTGAAAAAAGGCGAAGGGAGCAGGAGGAAGCAGCGGCCCCTCGAGGGCCACCGCAGATGCCTTGCAAGGCTAGTAATCCATTTGAGGAGGAAGAAGATGACGAACCAGCTGTTCCTGAGGTAGAAGAAGAGAAGGTAGACCTCTCAATGGAATGGATCCAGGAGTTACCTGAAGACCTGGATGTCTGTATTGCCCAGAGAGACTTTGAAGGGGCCGTAGACCTGCTGGATAAGTTGAATCATTATCTAGAGGATAAGCCCAGCCCACCTCCGGTAAAAGAGCTAAGGGCCAAAGTGGATGAGCGTGTCCGACAGCTCACTGAAGTGCTAGTTTTTGAACTCTCCCCAGATCGGTCCCTGAGAGGTGGTCCCAAGGCTACCCGCAGGGCAGTTTCTCAACTAATCCGTCTTGGCCAGTGCACGAAGGCTTGTGAGCTGTTTTTGAGAAACAGGGCAGCAGCTGTGCATACTGCAATAAGGCAGCTTCGCATTGAAGGTGCCACTTTGCTTTACATTCATAAGCTCTGCCATGTCTTCTTTACCAGCCTTCTTGAGACTGCCAGGGAATTTGAGACAGATTTTGCAGGTACTGACAGTGGATGCTATTCTGCCTTTGTGGTCTGGGCAAGGTCAGCTATGGGCATGTTTGTGGATGCTTTTAGCAAGCAAGTTTTTGACAGTAAGGAGAGCCTCTCTACCGCTGCGGAATGCGTAAAGGTGGCAAAAGAGCATTGTCAGCAACTGGGTGATATTGGACTAGACCTCACTTTCATCATCCATGCTCTGCTGGTGAAAGACATACAAGGAGCTTTGCACAGTTACAAAGAGATCATTATTGAAGCCACAAAACATCGCAACTCTGAGGAGATGTGGAGGAGGATGAACTTGATGACTCCAGAGGCCTTGGGTAAACTCAAAGAGGAGATGAAGAGTTGTGGGGTGAGTAACTTTGAGCAGTATACAGGGGATGACTGTTGGGTGAACCTAAGTTATACAGTGGTTGCTTTCACCAAACAGACTATGGGCTTCTTGGAAGAGGCACTGAAGTTGTATTTCCCCGAGCTGCACATGGTACTTTTGGAGAGCCTAGTGGAAATCATTTTGGTTGCTGTTCAACATGTGGATTACAGTCTTCGGTGTGAGCAGGATCCAGAGAAGAAGGCTTTTATCAGACAAAATGCATCCTTCCTGTATGAAACAGTCCTCCCTGTAGTGGAAAAAAGGTTTGAAGAAGGTGTGGGGAAACCAGCAAAGCAACTTCAGGACCTGAGAAATGCATCGAGACTTATTCGTGTGAATCCGGAAAGTACAACGTCAGTGGTCTGATGCTTGGACCTGTTGATATGTATACTTATGTATTGCTCATATATTATTTATATTTATATTCGGTTGCATTAGCATATTCTTCATAGGCTCAAGCACAACTTTAAAATAAAAGATGCCCATTCAGAAATGCAAAGTCAAAAGAGAAAAAAGTATTATGTTAAACTCAAATAACAAAAACATTGAAATTATTAAAACGTAATATGCTTCCCTTTTAAATTATGCCAACTCTAATAACTATATTGTCACAACATAGCATTTCAGCTTATCTGTTGAGTCAAAACTCACTTTCTCACTGTATACATTTTGCAGCACAGTAATATTAGTATCTGTAAAAACATAGTCTTACGTTCACAGTGGTATGAAGTTTCCTGACTCACTAAATCATTAAGTATTTAAATGTTTCATGGCCATATGAAACACCCTGCCGCATACACTTGCCCACCTTAAAACATAATGGAATAATTTAGGAAGAGAAGAGGGTTAGGAAAATTGACTTCTGGGTAAATTTTGGTGAAAAGCATTCCTGTTTGAAACTAGCTACAGTGTGCACACCCAAATATTCTATCCCTATACAAGAGGAAGCAACAGTTTTGCAAATGTTTCCCACATAGTTTGAATGGCCAAGTTTCACTGGCTAATTAAGCAACTTTATGATATTTGATTTAGAACATTTACCTAAACCTTAAGGATTATGATAATTGTTTAGATTCTCTACCATTTTCAGTGTAGATTATTTAGCAACCTAGACTTCCTGCAGTGAGAGAACGGTTTTCTTTAAAATACATTTTAGATTTCAGGTTCTGGCTGAATGTTCTCAAGTATGGTTGTTTTGAGCACAGATAAAGAAGAGGAAGTTTAGATGTACCCAAAACTAAGGGAGGAAAAGAGCCTTTGGTGACTCTTAGTAAATGCTTCATTTAATTGCTTCATTTAATTCACTGTTTTTATTTTCCTTTCTTTGTTTTTAAAAGTGACTATGTGCTTACTTCAGATTGTTTATTAAAACAAAAATTACTAAAGAAATTTGAGCTTTCCCAGGCTTCTAAACTATTGCTTCTATTGTATATTAATATTAATATAACATTCCACTAAGAAAAATTGTCTTAGCTAAGACCCATTTTTCCTGTAGCTTCTAGTTGTGATTTTTGTCCATAAGTGCCATTTCTAATGCAATGACTTCAAAAGATCATTTATTTGAATAAAAGTAGTGGTGTTAAGACTGTGGAAATTATGTAAAATCTAAAGTAGCTTCCAAGTACTGGCTTATGGTTGTAAAGCTCCATGAATTAATTATATGCCAGGTAAGCCCTTATTTTAAGCTATGCATATTTAGAAGATTGAAAATTATTGAAGTTACAGATTTCTTTGACTAATTTTTTCACACTTCAGGATTTTTCTAGATAACAACCATAACTGGATATCTCTGCTAATCAAAAACAGTTATAATTTGTCTTTTTTAAGATCACTGGAAACTTGAATTTTGATAAAATTTTGTGATTATTTTGTGCCTCTTGTAGTTTCTAAAATTACATTGTATTTGAAACAGGTATTGTGTATATATTTGATGCTGGGTCCATGAAATGATACTTCCAAAATCAAAGCTTTTAAGGCATGAAATTGTACAAACTTAAATGTGTATACTCAGATAGTTAAATGGTAGCTTCTTCATAGTACTATTTGCTTTTGGAAATTGGAAGTACAGAATTTTGTTCTGTTAAAATTTGTGTGGCCCTTAGTCAAAGTTGTCGCTGAAGGATATGCTTTTGATGAATCAATTAGTATGCCGAATTGATTAACAACCACCTAAGTTATTAATGTACCTCTATGCCAAGACAGAGCAGTTACGTTGCCTTCCTTAAAGTGGAGTTGGAGCACTTCTCTAATTCTTGTTTATTTAGATTCCAAGTTCTAAAACTTGAATGCAGTTAGAAATTGTCCAAAAATATAGTATATATGCTAATATACCACTTAAGAGTTGATTGCCTTTTCTTGTTTGCTTGAAACATAACACTGTCACTTGAGCTTGGAATCACAGACTTGATTGAATTAATCACTGTTGTAAAAAGATACCCTGTGGAATTACGTCTCTTTTTGATTAAAGTCTCATTTTATGTAAGTGCTGAAAACTCATTTTTATTTAAAATACTATCTGTCTTTAAATTATCAGCAGTTTTATTTTGCAACTTGCTTACTAGGATTGGGAAGTTGGCACTTGACATGTGTATAAAACCAGTATATGTTCATTTCTCTTATTGTTCTACTGTGATATGAGGGATCTGAAATGTTTTATCAATAAAGCTTAAAACTTTTTTTTACACTGGATAAAATTGGTTGATATTAGAGTGTTTTATTTCTGTTTATTCAAAATTTATTGTTTTATTCTTGTTACTGAAATATGGTTTTAAAAGCCTTAGCTTTTTTTTTTTTTTTTCCAAATTGGAGTGGTAAGTAGGGAGCTAGTGTTCTGCTTATTATCAGAGCTGTGATTAAATCAGATCTCAGGACTTTTTTTTCCTAAGGATTCCCTGGAATGGGAAATTTCAAATATATGAAGTATCACTTTACTCTAAAAAAAGTGGACTTTAGGCCATCTACACTTCCCTAATCTAGATACTGCCACCATAAATAATTTGATCTTTTAAAAAATACTTATTTATGTATAAGAACTGGGCTACAGGCCAGAGGTGCAGAGGCAGTGAGAGGATTTACAGAGACAAAGTGGGGAGCAAAGTAGGCAGATCAACAAAGTACAATGCTGAAGGGAGCAATGGCAAGACAGGAGAGGTCTGCTGCACCATGTGGATCACCTCCAGGGCCAAGAATCAAACTTGTACTGAAGCAGCTGTACCTAGTTTGCAGTGCTGCATTCTAACCCATTGTGCCACCAGAGAGGGCCCTTGATCTTTTTTTTTTTTAAGATTTATTTATTCATAGAGAACTGGGGTACAGGCCAGAGATGCGGGGGGTGAGAGGATTCACCAGGGACAGAGTGGGGAGCAGAATAGGCAGATCGATGAAGTACACTGCTGAGGGGAGCAGCGGGCGGGTCAGGAGAGGTCTGCCGCGCCATGTGGTCACCTCCGGGGCAGGTGGGAATCGAACTCATGCGGAAGTGGCTTAAGCTTCTTAGTGCTGCTCTTTAACCCCATTAAACCTCCCACCAGGGAGGGCCGATCATTTTTTTTAAGTGAGTAAATACTGAAGGAATATGGGGTATAGTTGAATTTAAATTAGCACAAGCTATACCTCACATTCACTATAATATGGGGAGGGGTGGGTGAAACTAACCATGACTTTATTTTAATATGCTTAAAAATCAGAAAAAGCAATTTGATTGGCAATGTGTTAGAAAAAGGAGAAGAATATTGCAGATTCAGTTCTATGGGAATACTAAGAAAAAGCAGTGTTATTTTGCATAGTTTGGAAGTCTTCATGGAATTGTTGGCTTTGGAGCTCATCCTTGAAAAATAAACTAAACACAGAGAGATCATCTCCAGCAGAAGACACAGAAGTGGGGATAGGTGAGGCCCTTGTGGAGAAGTGCTGCCTGGTTGTAGAGTAGGAGGAACAGTGAAGTAGGCAGCTATCACAGAACCATTGCCAATGTTTTCATATTGGAGGAAAGAAAGGTTATGTAATTATGCATATTGTCTTTTTTTTAAAGATTTTTTTTTTAATGAATACAGGAATTGGGGTACAGGCCAGAGGTGCAGGGGTAGTTGAGAAGATTCAGTGGGAAACAGAACAGGCAGATGGACTGAAATACACTGCTGAGGGGAGCAGTGGGTGAGACAGGAGAGGTCTGCCATGCCATGTGGGTCACCCAGCCCCCTCTTCCCTCCACCTCCCTTGCCCCCCACCCCCACCGGGAATCAAACTCCTGCTGCTGTGACTGTGGACAGCTTCATAGTGCTGCACCTTAACCTGTTGGGCCACCAGGGAGAGCCCTGATACATGCTGTCTTTATGAAGCTGAATCCGGGCCCACTCTGGCAGTGTAATGAGTTAAAACGAGCACTAGGAAGCTAAGCTGGCGGACACCACTTCAGTGCTAGTCCAATATCCCACCAGGGAGCTGACCCACATGGTGCAGTAGACCTCTCCTTACCTGCCCGCTGCTCCCCTCAGCAGTGTACTTCGATGATCTGCCTGTTCTGCTCCCCACTCTGTCTCTGGTGAATCTTCTCACTGTCCCTGCATCTCTGGCCTATACCCCAGTTCTGTATGCATAAACAAAATCTTAAAAGAAAAAAAAAAGCTGAATCCATGCAGAGTGGAAAAATTGAAAGGTATCTCACCCAATCCCCTGTTACCTCTTCACTAGAGGTAATACTGCCAAGTTTCTTGTACATTTTTTTTCCAGAAATTAGATTTTACTCTACACACTGTTGAGCATCTTGCTTCCATTTACTTACCAATTCATTTTTTAGAAGACATTGCTTACATCAAGACCTTTAGCTTTTACATTTTTCCCCCTGTGATTGAACAGTGTTCAGTCACAATGAATGAATCTTATCATTATTTTGCACTTTCCAATTTAACTTAAGGTTTGTGTGATTACAAAAATATTCTAAAAGAATGTTCCCTGCACAGACATCTTTGCCTACATGAGTGTCTACAGGATGCATTTCTAGAAGTTGCTCTGCCAGACTAATTTTTATGTAGGTAAATATTTGAATTGTTTATTGGGGAGGTTGCACCATTTTACATTTTCCCCAACAGTATAGGAGAGTATGTGTTTCCCCAGTTTTTCATGAATCTTTATTCATTTCTTAATAATAGTACATTTTATTCATTTTGCTAATCTCTGTAAAAAATAGGTTGTTTTGTTTGTAATTTTAATGAGTGAAATTGAGCAACTTGTATTTATTTATCTGCCTTCGCCATTTTATTTTTTGGTTATCTGTATTTTAATGATTGTGAGAGTACTCATGCTATATTTAAGAAATTAACCCTTTGTGGGTACTAAGTGTTGTAGACTTATTTTGTCATTCATTTTATGTATTTTTGTAGTGTAGTATGTTCTAGCTTGTTATGAAATCATCAGGCTTATCTGAGGCTTTTCCTTGCGCTATTCAAGCTTAGAAAGGCCTAGACCATGCTCAGATTCTGAAAACATTCATAGAGGGTGGGACCTAACAAATTCTGGTGAAGGGCTATGGCCACCTTGGTGGTAAGTGTGGTGTGGTAACATACAAGATCCTGTACCTCTGAATCATGCACAGAATTGTAAGCCAATGTTACCTCCGTGAAAAAAAAAATTTCAGTGGTGAGTCCTTTCTCATTCCACAGAGTTCTTTGAAAACAAATAGTTACTTTATTTAGCCAGTCTCAAAACAAAACAAAAAATAAAAACATATATTCATGTTTCTTTGTCCTACCTGGTGAAGCCAGAAGCCAGAAGCAGCTCCGTGGGGCTCCACTCTTACACGCCACTCAATATGGGGCTCTTGTGGCAGCTGCGTCTGGCTATAGCATTCCATCCTGGGGTTAGACGGCATTAACGGCGGCTGCCCCCACCAGGGGCCTCATTTTCCTGAATTTGGCCAGAGGAGAGAAGGCGGTGTGGCTCTAGAGCCAAGTGGTTGCCAGAGCAAGCTGTCACGCAGGCTCACTCTGGTTTTTCTTCCAGTAATTTAATATTTGAAATTTTCCTTCACCGGGCCCTCCCTGGCCGTGCCAGGGGTTAAAGCGCCACACTGAGGCTATGGGCAGCCACTGCAGCACTAGTTCAATTCCTGGCCAGGAGGTGACCCCTAGGGCGCAGCAGACCTCTCCTATCTGGCCCGCAGTTCCTCTTGGCCTTGCACTGTTCAGTCCATCAGCCTGTTCTGCTCCCCACTCTGTCTCTGGTGACTCCTTTCACTCCCAGCACCGCTGGCCTATACATAAATTCTTGTATGCATAAATAAATCTTTATGAAATTTTCCTTCACCTAATCTTTTTTATTATTATTAATTTATTTTTACATTTTGTGCCTTTTTCCATCTCAGTTGTAATCCCCGTGGACTTTCCACTACCAATTCACCCATGTGCCATCATCATAATCCAATGCACTGTCCTCTCCCACTCCAATTTTTGATCCCATTCACCGGGGTAAAATGTCTCAGGTATATCGTTCATTGTTTTTAATTTTTTCTTTATTATAATTGCTTTCCCCCACCCCTCCCCCTTCCTTTATGCTCCTGCTATGAGTAAAACCATCTGGTATTTTTCTTTTTCTTTCTGTCTTATTTCACTAAGCATGATCCCTTCCAGCTCCATCCATGTTGCTGCAAAAGGCATGTGTTTATCTTTTTGGTTGCTGAGTAATATTCCATTGTGTATATGTACCACATCTTTTTAATCCAGTCATCCACTTTTGGGTATTTGGGTTGATTCCATGTCTTTTCTATTGTAAATAAAGCAGCAATAAGTATGGGGGTGCAGGTGTCTTTTTGAATCAGTGTTTTGGTGTCTTTTGGGTAAATACCTCAGAGGCTAATTTATTTTTGAGTAAAGAATGTCATAAGAAACTCATCACCCTTCACACACAATGATCAAGTAACAGTTTTGAATCCTCCTTTACTCACTGTCTTGAAAAAATCATTTTAACTATTACATGTATGTTACATTTTTACATGGGGTGCACTTTTAGGTCCTACATTCTATCTCACTGATATTCCTATTAATGTGCCTGCAGTAGTTTTCATTAACTAGAAATTTATAATATGATTTAGTAACTGGCTGGACTGGTTTCCTCTACTGCTTTAGGTTTTCTCTAAGTATTATCACATATTTGTAACTCAAGTTTTATTTTGAATAATTTTATGGCATTTTTTTCAACTATTCTCCCAAAGAGCTGGAATTTTTACTGAAATCAGATCAATTAACTTAAGAAAAAGTGACATCTTCATGGTGTGGTAAATATACACAATGGAATATTACTCAGCAACCAAAAAAAAAAAAAACCAAAACATGCTTTTTGCAATAACATGGATGGAGCTGGAGAAGATCATGCTTAGTGAAATAAGCCAGAAAGAAAAGGAAAAACACCGGATGGTTTCACTCATAGCAGGAGTATAAAAGACCAGGGGAAAAAGAATAATAATAATAATAATGAACAACTATATACCAGAGACATTTTACTGGGATGGAATGGAGAATAGGATCAAAAACAGTGAGGGGAGGGAAATGCACTGGACTATGGTGATGGCACATGGGTGATTTGGTGATGGGAAGCCCACGGGGATTACAACTGAGATGGAAAAAGGCAGAAAATGACGTAAAAATAAACTCTTATTTTTTTTAAAAGTGACATCACTGTAATTTTGAATC